CAGGGTCGCGGCTTGGTCTTTGTGTCTCTTCTCTGAAAAGTTAAAAGGCCTTTGCTGGGGTTTGGGGTAAAATTGACTTTTCCCCCTCTCACGCTCAGTTTAAGAGCGTGGCCCCTGCCACCTCTGCCCTGCCCCCGCCCAGGGGTTGGTTGCCGTCAGCCGCCCGCGCTTCTGCGCCGTGGTCGTGGCGGGAGCGCTGCTTTAATTCCCAGAAGCAGCTCTTAACGAGTTCGGGCCCAGTCACGAGCGGTCAGGCGTTGCTCACCTGTGGGTCGGTAATAAAACTCGGGTGGCGCGCGAGGCCCACGGGGCGTGACGGAGGGGGTGACTCAGAGCAGGGAGCAAGTCATCAACCGGCCTTGTGAAGTTAACTTGCTGTAGGGGTTTTTGAACGTCTGGTAAATCGGCGCTATATCCTTCCCCGCGCTGCTCTGACTCCTCTAGGGCAAAAAAGGAATACCTGGGGAACTTCACTGGGTGAATAAGCCCCATTCTTCCACCCACCTCCAAGTAACCACAAGACAAATTTGACTTAATAATTTGTGTCACTTTTTGATTTTGTTCTGTAATAAAATAGTTCACTGAACGTTTTCGATACTGTCAGTCGGCTGCCTGTTCTAGGCAGAGGGTAAAAGGCACATCCCCAGCCACCCCTGTACTTGGGAAGGTTGTGGTAATCTCTTCTTCAAGTCATCTGGTTGGCAATTTATTTTGGTAAGTGTCCTCATATATCCACAGGCTGGAGGGTGCTTTCGCCGAATATTGGGCATGGTCAGTAACAGCTGTTCTCCTTGGCTCAATTGCAGATGTGAAGAGAGATGATGTACGAAAGATTAAATCATGTAATCAGGCTTTGGGAAATGAGATGGTAAAGAGAGGTGGTGGCGAACATGCAGTTCATTGAGTTTGTCACAAAAGACAACTGGCCAAGTGGCGGGAGAGCTGATGATTTCCAAAGGAACCTTATCGCTGTGCTGTCATCAGGATTCAAGCATAGCATTGATGGTGTGAAGTGCTCAAGAAAAACTCTGTGGATTAAATCACATATATCCATCTCTTTCTTGTTCCATCTTCAAGGCGTGAGGCAAAACCATCATTCTTACCGTTTCACCATTTATTATGCCATCATGGAGCCTTTGGCCTACTTTTAACCTCCTTTTTATTTAAAACACACTGCTTCCTTGGGGATATTGTTTCCCTTCTGTCTTCACCTTCTCATTCTGATTAGTGTAACAGAGTATTCCCAGATATGTTCCTGTTGCTCATATTTCTGGCTATGTCATCTGTACCTATGATTTTCAAATCTGCAATGTTATATTTAGCTTCTAGACCTAGTTCTAAACCAATAAGTACATCACAGGCATGTAAGTAGTAAATGCCTCTCCAGTCACACTGAACTGGCTTCTGAAACTCCAGAAAAAACAACTGGCTTTTGCAAATGTGAATGAGATTAAAAAAAAAATTCAGAAAAGGCACCTGTGTCTTTACAGATAGCAGGCTAAATCTTCTGCTCCTTACTTAAGTCTTATTTATACGGTATTCCTACTATAATTCAACTTTGCAGCTAGTTTTGCCTGAGGAAAGACTGGCTGAATGCTGAGTAATGACATCAAGATTAATTCCTGAGAAGCTAATGAAGTGTCATGCCAAGGGTATTACTTCAATTTGAGGGACAAGTACAGTCACATTATCTAATACTTCCCAGTGCTGAACTTCCTGTGTTACCATATTTTAAGAATCCATATCATAATGATTGTGTACAACTAAGTGTAGTGCAAACAAAACATATTAAAGATGTTAATATAGGTACCTATTGGCCTCAGCTAAGCCCATCTCCTAATTGCCTGGGGCGTTGTTGCTCACATTGCTATGACGTTAGGTGGCACAGGCACGCGTGATCTCCTGTGTTGCTTAAGGCTGAGCAAGCTGTCGTGGAGAACGCTTCCTGCTGCCGTCTCCTGGTCTGGAAGCAAGGGGTCCCCGCTGCACGTTGCGTGAACACCTTGGGCCAAGAACAGAGGGATACATCAGTAAAACAAGTCGTGTCTACAGCACAGCCAGGCCTTATATCTGTGATTTTCCTCCACTGTGGCAGCTGAGAGGTAGCTAGAGACAACTAATGGTAGTATCAGAGTGAGACTTCGGTATTAACTAGATGACGTGAGAGCCATGCAGTTAAGGGAAATCACTGCCTTAGAGAACTTAACAGTGCAGGTAGGCAAGGCAGAGAAGAAAGGTAGGAAAATATAACCTGCATTTTTCTATATTTTTCTACCTGATGAAATGATGCAGAAAGATCAATCTGCCCGAGGTAACAAAGGCTCTCAGTAACAAAACTAGCAAGTAAAATTCAGGTTGTCCAAATCCCATTACGTTACCTTGATCCAGTTTGGCGTACGCACAATGAGCTCATGCACACGAGACTGGACCTCCAATGGACGTGCAGGGCAGCTGTGCTGAGCAGAGACAGTCCGTCTGGCTGCAGGGCCAGCAAGCCTCCCCCTCTGCACTGGGAAACACACTGGGCCAAAAAGCAGGAGCCCTGCTGTTCTAAGAGATCCAAGCCACCAGCTGTCCTCGGGAGCGTGTCCGCCTGTAACGTCGTGCCTTTGGGAGTACTGCTGCTACGGTATTCCCGGGTGGATGGCTGCCATCTGTAACCACTTTTGATAGCACTGAAACCACGCCAGTGTTGCGGAGGAGGGCTCTGGGTGCAGAGAGGGTGTCGTATAGCTACGGAGCCCAGGAAAAAAAGAGTTAAAGCTGTACTCAGTACCAGAAAGGCTGAAGCCAAATTAAAGCCATGTTACATCTATGGCACTAGAGGCAAGGGTGAGCTTCAGGGCAAGACTTGAAGCACTGGATTTTACGGAGTAAGTGGTCCTCAGGCTCTGTATCCCATCCCATGGCCTGAGGTGTCAGTGCAAGCATCTCCACCACAGGTCAGGGATCCTTTTCTCAGAGCCCTTGGTCTTTGCACCCCTTTCTTCAGCAGCCGCAGCGGCAACTGAAGGAAAATAGAGCCCTGCTTTGAAAGCCAGAACCTCTCCGCTTTGATGTGTCCCCTTCCCACCCTCCCCTTCCCCTGTGTCTGTGGAGGTAAAAGCAGTGGGTGGAGAGGCAGAGGCTTCCCTGGACAAACACAGCACTTCTAGGAGAGCCTGCAGGCTTGGCACAGGTGCAGGGGAGGGAGAAGTGGCCTTTGGGCAGGGATTTCCTCCATGTGCCGCCTGTCCCTTCCCGGTGGTTCGCAGCTGGGGCAACCTGCTGCTGCTGCTACCACCCACCAGTTTTAGATTTTGTTCCATGGGAATGATCAGTTCTTGAGCAAATCTGAGCTGAGGTGGCTCCTCGGGTAGGTCAGGGCATGGCCATGGCCCATCCCACCGCCCCAGCCGGCAGCAGGGCAGCTGGGGGCACCCGGGGCAGCCGCAGCCCTGGGCATCGGGCACCTCCCTGGGGAGGAGCTGAGGCCGGGCTGGGACGTGGGCCCATGGGTGGGGGTCAGGGTCAGCCCCCTCAGGGTGGGGGTCAGGGTCAGCCCCCATGAGGGGAAGTGGCGTCAGACACAGCCCCGGCATGTCTGGGCAGGGCTGTGGGGTCACAGGTTGTTGAGAAGAATCCAATTTAAACCAAGTTCGGAGGATGAATCACCTACTTCTGCAAAACTGGCATTCAAAAACTGACATTCCCTCTTCCGTCTCCTAGTTTCACGGTCTGGCTTGA